TCTCTACTAGAGAAAAAAGAAATAAGGCTGACGTTTCTATTAATACCACACAATAAATGTATCGAACTAAATGTATTATGTAATGCGTGTCAAACGGTAATAAACTATGAAGGTAAATATAACACTGCTCACTCTCGTACGAAGAAATACTGCTCACTCTCGTACGAAGAAATACCGCTCACTCGTACGATGAAATTTACATATTATATAAGCTCATAATAAGATTAATAAATAAACGCTCTTTATTGTAAATAAATATACGATTTTTTTTTGTATAAATAGAAAGCCCTAATTTAAAAAAAGCAGCATAAAAAAAAATACTCGTGTCGTGTTGTAGAAGTTTTGGACCTGTTCTATACAATAGTCAATTTTTGTATTTCTTTTCTTCAATATGTATGTACTACATATGTGACTGTATTTTATCATTCATAGCGCAAGTAGTGGACCGCACATAACCTCAGATACGTAGCAACCGGTCACGCTACCACATCTAGATACAACAATATCACAGTGCATATCGGTATAGTGTAAATCACACAGTCACACTTCATATCAAGAACCAAACATTCACCTTCAATATGGTGCTGTGCCACCCCGAGTATCCGCCTAATCTCCGAAATCAGCTGCCAACGCGATGGAAGATACACAAACCACCGAACGTGAAGGGTAGCAAGTTTTTCCGCAAGGCGAAGTATTCGCAGCACAGTCTCAGCGATAATACTGTAACACCCAGATATGTTGGCTTGAGGAGTCCACGAGGCCGAGATAAGGTGTGTATATATACATTGTAAACAGACAGACCCCCCTCCCCCACCCTTACTCACATACACACACATGTGTACACACGCACACACACACACACACACACATACACACATACATACACACACACAAACGCACACACAAACGACACACACACACACACACATATGTATATATATATATTATATATATATATATATATATTCGATATGTTTGTAAATATATACATACATACATACATGTATACATTATATATATTAAATACTTACACACACACACACACACAGACACACGCACGCAAGCAACACACACATACACACACACACATCTTACACACACACACACACACAGACACACGCACGCAAGCACACACACACACACACACAGACACACGCACGC